GGAGGGGAGGGGAGGGAAGGGAAGGGAAGGAAAGGGAAGGGGAAGGGGAAGGATAGACTAGACTAGACTAGACTAGACTAGACTAGACTAGACTAGACTAGACTAGAGTAGAGTAGAGTAGAGTAGTGTAGGGGAAGAGAGAGACAGGAGGACAGAGCAAGGTCCCAAGACTGAGTTAGAGATCTGGGGACTCACAGGGGCAACAGGGGTAACTGATAATAGCAAATTTAAGCAGGAATGACCCTTTGGAAATTTAACATTGTGGTGAAACATGTCACCCAAGAGCGCTCTGGGGAATCCAGTACAATCAAACTGCTTATTAAACAATGGTTTATGCATTAATTTAATCAGGCAAAGGTCTCAGTTAACGATTCATTACCTTTCTTATCCTCTCAGATTTGTGTTACTCCCTCTCCTTTTGTTTGCTGTATATAACTTTGACTGCAATCCTGATTTCGTCAGACAGTAAATAAATCAAAGAATAGGGCAACAAAAATAAAAATTGTATTTGTAATCATGACTCAGGAAAGTCAAAAGAGAACAATAGAAGAGATAGTTATGAATCAATCTTCCCACAAAATATTAAGGCCAGTTCAAACTGGCCAGCCCATCTTATCAATAATCCTGGAAAGAGAAGGGAAGTTCTAAAGAGGCAGGTCTATCACTGTAAAAGCAAATCACTGGCCCTGCTAGGGGAACAGGCTCCTGGAATTCTCTTCCTCTGGGACTGATAACAAAGGGCTTGCCCTGCCAATGCTTTCCATAAAGAAAGCAGCTTTTCCATTCTGAAGGACCTACTAGTGCGTATCTGGAGAGTCAGATCCAGATCCTGGGTTCTGTTAAGAATCTATCTACTGGGGCCTGGAAGATAGCTCAGTGGCTTAAGCGCCTGCCTGGCAAGTGCAAGGTCCTCAGTTCGATCCCCAGTGTCTATCTACCATTTTGGTGAGAGTCAAGGGAAACAAGAATCCAGGGAAATAAAGATTCTATTTCTTCCTCCACTAGGATTTTCAAAAATTAGGCTAGATTTTAAAGCTGCAAAAGACCATCAGTGATTATTTTGCTGAATTCATGCACCTACAATATATGAATGACAATGGAATACCCATCTCTGACAAAAGTAAACAAAAAAGGGGGATATAAATGAAGGTCTAGGGCTGGTGAGATGACTCAGTGGACTAAAGCACCTACTTAGAACAAGCTAAGCTAAGCAAAACACAGGGACCGCGGTTCAATCCCCAGCACCACATGCCAGCCAGCCCCGCCCCCTGGTGGGCTGAGCTGGCCACACACACACAAAATAAATAAATAAATAAACATTAAAAAAAAAAAATGAAGGTCCACTTGTTAGTAATATATCTTCATATACAAAATAGTTAGCATAGATATGCAGCTACTTTCTCTTAGTTTAATGAGAAGAAAGTTTTGAACTAATAGTGTTTAGACAAGATATCACGTCTACATCTTGTACTATGAAAAACTACTACAAAGGCAACAATATGCAATGTATTAGTGTAACTGTCTTACTAACCTGTTTTGAAACTGTCTCATTGCTTTTTTCTCAATAAAATTAATATATTTTTTTAAAAAAGACCATCAATGGGATGGTAACAACAATCTAATAAAGGTAGGAAAACTCACAATCCTTTGAGTTCCATTAACAACATGCCTAATTCTGGTCGGAAGTTGCTCCCCAAAGTTCAAATCTACAGTGATACAGTGCTAGAGATAATAAAAGTGATATAATCGATCCAAATTTACATTTGTACATTCATTTTCTGTGCAAATATTTTACATTCCATTTATGATCTTACAAACTTGAGAGGCAGTAGACATAGTATGTCTGAGCTTCTGATGGAAAAACTAATATTCAAACAGGTCATATGTCTTATAGTTGGTAAAATTATTGTGAGTAGGAATCAGAAGATCTAGGTTTGCTATCTGGCTCTACTTAATACCTTTGTGTAAAATCTCTCCAAACACTAACGTATAGTGCACGTGATTATAATTGTTGGTATTATTAAGTGTTATTGTGGAAAGCACTCTGTAAATTACAAAATCCTATGTAAACAAATCATTAACAACTACAAAACTTCTAGTCCAGTGCTCTTGCACTGCATTAAGTTATCACCCCACAGAGAACAAGCACATTGAAACACGGACTGCATGATAGCTGACAGGATGTCACACCAGACTGTGAAACCATCCACAGACCCAAGCCACGACTAGGTAGGATGAACATCTAACCATGCTGTAGGTTTCCAGGAACCTACTATACAGAACAGAAGAACCTACCTTGCAGCTAAGTACTCAAGTGCCCGGATGGCTCCCATTGCTAGCTAAGTACCCCCATTACTCCTATAGCTCCTCAGAATGCTTGTTATCAAATGCATTCTCTCTTTCAATCGGTTACTCAGCTTGTTTATTTAAGAAAGAGAATGTCTAAGATTCTACCAAGAGAGACTGATTGTGTTCTCCAGCTCATCCAGGACTCAACCCCCAAACAGTTCTGTCAATGAACTTGGCTTTCCTAGTGGTGACAAGCATGTGCCCCGTGAAGCTGTGCCAATCTCAACTTGGCCTTGTAGCCAGTGCCACCATTCTCACACTGAAGGACTATTTGCCTCTGCCAACATCATTCTGCTCATGAATAAATAGCCTTTATCATTAGCCAAAATGCTTGGGTTACCTTCAATTGTGACTCTGCAATTTGAATCTTTAGCTCAATTTGATATAATTTGGCTTCTCTTAGCCATTCAAATTAGGTTTTGATCTTTTAGTCCACTCTCTTCCTAACCATGGGCTTTCTAGCACAAGAACTGGTAATATAAAATTTAAAAAAAAAAGAAAGAAAAACCAAAAAACCCAAAACCCCATTTCACTCTATCTTAGGCCTATGTTGCAAAAACAGTAATACTGGGCCTGTCTTGCCACTCCCAGGGCGCACTGAGACAGCAATTGAGACTGGGCCTGGTGGCACACGCCTATAATCCCAGCTCTTGAGAGGCTGTAAACAGGAGAATCACTATGAGTCCAATCTAGTAGTGAGACCCTGCAAACCCAGTAGACCCTCTTTCCTAAAAAAGAAAAACCAAAAACCAATAATAAACATTAATCTACTTAGTAAAATGTAAAGTTGTATTTTAACAGATTATTAAGGGGCCAGGGAGATGGCTCAGTAGAATAAGCACTTGCCTGGCAAGCACAAGGGCTTGAGTTCAATCCCCAGTTCCGTCATTAAAAAAACAAACAAAAAAACAGATTATTAACATGATCAGGCTCTTTTCATTACACTAAATTGTAAATACCTCTCCCTCATGCATTTGCTCATACCCATCTCACTCTATTTCTTCAGAAGTGAATTCTCTTTTTGCTTTCAGGGTTTTGTTCTCAGGCACCGGGGAGATGGCTTGGTAGAATAAGCACTTGCCTGGCAAGCACAAGGGCCTGAGTTCAATCCCTGGTTCTGCCAAAAAAAAAAAAAAAAAAAATTGGGGGGGCCAGGGAGATAGCTCAAGGGCCTGAGTTCAATCCCCCGTTCCTCCAAAAAAGAAGAAAAAAAAAGAAAAAAGGATTTCGTTCTCAGTTAAAAGCTGCTATACTTCCCAGGAGAGAACACTTTACAACCTTGCCTTCATTAAGGGGAAAACTATCTTGACATTTTCACTGCCCCTTTACCTACTATTACTAATGGTAAATACTTTAACTTCAATGTCTTTCTTTCTTCTTTTTTTTTTTTTCAGTATCAGGAATTGAACTCACGGGGGCCTGCCCATTAGTACAGTTGTTTATTTATTTTTGTTTTTTGGCAGAACCGGGGATTGAACTCAGGCCCTTGCACTTGCCAGGGAAGTGCTTATTCTACTGAGCCATCTCCCCGGCCCTAATTAGAAATTAATTTTATTTATTTATTTATTTATTTATTTAGCGGAACCAAGGATTGAACTCAGGCCCTTGTGCTTGTCAGGCTTGAGTTTCATTTTCTAAACAACCATACTATTTCTAGCTTACCATTTTCCAAAGAACAGAATGTTAGGATTCCCACTGATGAGCTTATCACAATGTGTAGAAATTCATTACTTGCGTAGAAGGAATGAATGCACTGATCTACACCTTTCTAGAGACATTTAATTTATCCCTCTTTTCTTTTGGGGGAGTTAACTGGGGTTAAAGCAATAAACCAATAAAGCTCACACTGGGCCTTTTTATTTTTAAGATGGGATCTCACTAGGTTCCTAGGCTGCCGGGGCCGTGCTCTCATTTGCAATCCTCCCACCTCAGGCTCCCAGGATACTGAGGTCATAGGTCTGCTCCACCATGTCTGGCTCCATATACTTAATTTCTTGCCCAACAAATCTATAGTCTCTTTTAAGTCCCTATTGTATTAGGCAGCAGAACTTTATGTACTAAGTAAGCTATGTACTTACAGCATATAAAGTTGTACTACCTAATATAACAGCCATCAGCCACATGTGGCTATTAACTGAACATTTTAACTTAGTAACTCAAATAAAATTTAAAATTAAGTTCCTCAACAGCTACAAGTGGTTAGTAGCAATCATATTGGACAACACAGATATAGAACATTTCTGTCAACATCAAATTTATTGGACAGCACTAAATAAAGGCTGCTTATAAATAATATCATCTAACTGTACAGTAACTAGAATGACCAGTGTTCGCTACAAATCCACCAAAACAACTTGTTTGGGAAATTCTACTCTTCCAGCATGACAAGGAGAATTAAAAAGCACATTTGAGCTTTAACAGGCAATATGGGTCCTTACCAAAAATTTCTTTTTCTCACTGGCCCCTGCACATGAGCTTGTTGTTATTGTGGGGCTGTTCAGAAGGGTTGAGCTGCTGCTGCTGTGTTTTTTCTTTAAAAACAAAGAAACTGAGGTTAATAATTTGTATCCTCCATGCAACAGAAGAGTTTTTTTTTTTTTTTTTTTTTTTTTCAGAATAAAGTTTTAAATTATTCAAGCAAACTACAGATCCAAAGAGCTGATAGGTCTTGTTAACTTTACTTTCTAACCAATTTCCAATCCTTTTCACAACCTTATAACTTCTGATTTCACACCACTAACACAGCAGCATGCACAGTAAAAAGTCTGATAGTAGCTTTTAGTTTCAAAGCAGGATTCCCAAAATGTGATCCTGCCTTAAGAACTATCAGGGACTACTCCACTCCTCTTTTCCACAGAATGGCCTCCGAGTCCTCCAACTCCAGAAAGCTTCCCCTTTGCACCCACTAGCTGATATCCATGCTAAAGTCGTCTGGAGAAAGATCAGCTAACTAGAGTGGCTGTGCACATGGACAGGAAGGAAAGTGAGGTCATTAGGCTCAAGCCTGGGGGAGGGGACCCACTCCTGGTTAAATGCACATTCAAAAAGTGATTCTGTATACAAATAAGCTATTTCAAGAGATAACCCACACTATTAGATGGAATAATTTATAAAATAATATAAGAATGATCTCTATTTTTTTTTTTTAAGAATGATCTCTATTATCACCCCAGTTTTGTAAGATAATTACAACAAAGGAGCTTTCTCTCTTGTGCTTTCTTTCTTTTTTATGTATTTAGTACAGGGTCTACAGAGTTTCACTACACAGATTAGACTCGTAGTGATTCTCCTGTTTTCAGCCTCCCAAGCGCTGCTTGCTTGTTTGCTTGCATGCTTGCTTGCTCATTTTGGAGTTTCTGGGAGGGGATCTCACTACGTAGTATAGGCTGGCCTTGAACTCACTGAGATTCTCCTGTCTCAGCCTCCTAAGTGCTCGGATTATAGGTATGCACCACCACACCTGGCTAAAGCAGCTTTCTAAACTAATATTTCTGTTATAATATGGAACAAAAAGACCCTCGTCTAGGTTCCCTACAATTCCTAAGCAGGAAATACTTTGAGAGGCTATAGCTAGCAAACCACATTATAGAGCCTTATACAGTGGCACTTTGGTTCATGAATTTTATGATTCAAATGATTCTGGCTGCAAACCAAGTTGGATGAGAACCAAATCAAACTCAATGGTTAGGTTCAATGTTGCTCTTATGGGAAAATTTGATTCAGGTCTCCTCCAGTTTGGTTTGCAACCAGAATTGTGGAGAAAACTTGAGTACAACTGTATTTTTCTCTTAAATCCAAATGCACCTCTGAAGAACTGGCAGACAAGATGTACGTAAGAGAGGAGGTTAGCTGGTAAGAGACAGAACCATAAGACTTTCAGGGAGAAAACTTTACCACATGTGCCCAACAAAGCATCAGATACCCACTGGATACCCACTGTGTAGGAGAGCACCTATTTGTTCACTCATCTCTGAAGGCCAAAGTACCCAAGCACCAAGATGGTAAATGATGCTAAAGGCAAGAGGAAGAATCTCATGGCACATGAGTTTAAATGTTAACAAAAATAGGAGATAGGATCATGAACCTGAACAATAATAACTGTCAAATAGTAAAGGAAAAAAATTATATAATATTGTCCCCATAACAGATGAAATTATTCTCCACAAATGCTACGTACAAATCTAGATCATGGACCCACACATGGCTGGCATATATCACCATTTAACAGGCTGAAAGGAAGGGACCAACAGCATTCAACATTGATATTTAAGTAGCTGTAGCTTTTCATGTAGTTCTGATTTGAAAATCCCTCCCCACCAAATCTAGAGCGACACACACCTGCCTATTTGCGTGACTCACATCCTTGTTCTTCATGGTCTCATATCCAGACACCCGGGGACGTCGGCTCATCTGGAGAGCCACCAGATCCTTCATGATCGAGTCCAATGCCTCCTGCTCATCTGCAATGAAAGAGATCACTTGAACTAAGACACGTCAATACATAGCAAAGCACTTCTACAAATTAGTGCTCAGGGAGTTTTGCCAAGGTAAAATGACAGGTGTAGCAACTATAGCTACACACAGTGAATGCCTCCCAAAAGTAGACAACTGAGCTTATATTAGGGTAATTTGAACTTAAATTCTTATCAGACCTCCAATCAGACTTCTAGCAGCAATACATACCAACTGATTTTCATACAACAATCTGTCTAATGCCAGAAAAACTCAACCATGAAAAATAGATGAAAAGTTGAAGTGAAGAACTCTACAGCAGAGTACATGGACGGACAAGATAAATTCAGAGAAAAGTGAGTCTGGGACTTTAAGAATAGCCCAGCCCTATTCTTAAAGCTCATACGTAGGAAAATGTATCTCAGAAGGTACCCAACAAGGACCTCAGGTAGCTGCTTTGAACAAAAGTCGTTTAACAAGCCTAACCTGTGAATTCTGTCCTATGACTCTGTACAAGTTTACAGGCCTTCTGCTTCCCATAGGGAAATCAATGGCAATTCTATTGTTTTCCCTCCCTAACTGACCAAGCAATGCATTGTTTCTACCTTACTGGCTTTAATTCCCTTTTCTTGAAATAGAAAAGTTTTTCATGCACTAGAAACTGGCCAAAACCCAAAATCCAAACTACCGTAATTCCAAATTTTACAAAATTTCTCTGGTTCATTTAAGATCTTTGTCCATTCAAATAACATTTAGAAGTTGAAAATTAGCTGGAATATGAGAAATGAACTGTTATACTTACTTTGGTGACAACTCATTTGAGAACTTTAAAAGAATTTGATATAAGATATAAGCCGGGGGCTGGTGAGATGGCTCAGTGGTCTAAAACACCTACTTAGAAGAAGTTTAGCAAAGCACAGGGACCGCGGTTCAATCCCCCAGCACCACATGCCCGCCTGCCCCGCCCCCTGGTGGGCTGAGCTGGCCACACACACACACACAAATAAATTAATTAATTAAGTTTAAAAAAGATATAAGCCAGGCACATACTCCACAGGCAGAAGCAGAGGCAGAGAACTGTAAGCTTGAGGTCAGTCTGAACTACACAGTGAGTTCAAGACCAGCCTGAACTACAGAGTAAGACCCTGTCTCAAAAAAATAAAAAAATAAATAAAAATAAAAATAATTCACCCATACAGCTCCTGTCTTGTTCCTTTTATACTTGCTCTTGGGAGTATTCTAATACCCAGGAAAAGGACAGAATTCAGCATGAATCTAATATGCTCTTCCACATACCTCTTCCCTTTTTCTAGACCAATCTGTTCAGACGCCTGCCACTGCCCTCTGAGGATATGTAGGAAAAGACAAAGGTAGAAAGAGATTTTACCGTTTTTAAAAAAGTTTTTCCTTCTCCAGCTTTTATTTTCTTTTTCCTATTCTATTTTTATTTTGACACAAGGTTTCCACTAAGTTGCCTATGCTAGCCTTGACCTTGCCATCCTCCTGCCTCAACCCCCCTCTCCACCCCTGTAGCTGGGATTATAGGTTCTTGCAAGAGCAGAACACTTTTCAAGTTGAATCCACAAGTATGACTAGAGACAGCATGTCTTATACTCTGGAAGATGCTCCTATTATAAGAACTGGTCTGTCAGGTTAACAAGTTCTGCCAACCAACTTCTGGCATTACTTAATGGATAAACTTAGCTGGTAGTTCTAGCACTGAGAACAAACTACAGAAATGGTTTGGTGCTACTGCCTGAAATCTGTGATGCTGATAGAGGGTTATAGATTCTGATTTTGTGTCAAAGTCAGATATATTACTAGAAGCACATAAGTTCTTCAAACTAAGGACACAGATAAAAGCAGAAAGTAAATCAAGTGGCTCTTTTAAGCATTTCTCCCTGGATTAAGATTTTTAATTCAATTACTAATACTTCTTCAGTAAAGCATACTTGGAAAAACAACTTTTTTAGGATGTAGCAGTCAGAAATATGAACTCTGGAGTCAGACAAACCTGGATTTAAGGAGGCCTTGAGAAAATAATAAGTTTTTCTAAACCCTAATTTCCACATGTGTAAAATAGATATAATAAAAGCATGCTTTCTCAAAGCTACTGTGAGAGAAGAAAGAAATCAAGAACTTATAAACTACTTCTCACACTACCTAACACTTAGTAATGCTTAAAAAATGTTGGCTATTATTATTGTCAATAGGAAAAGGTCAGTGGAAAAAGACTGGAGGCCACTCAGTCTACCCTAGTATTTAATTTAATTTCTCAACTTTGTTAACCATTAGCAGTAATAATTTACTAAATATTTATCACATATTACACACAAGAAAGTTTTAAAAGCTACTTCAAGGCGTTCAAACACCAGGGATAAAAGGATAAATAATACACAAATATAAGATTACAGAACAAAATGAAAAGGCAATATGCACATCAGGGTACGTAAACACAAATATAAAAAAATATAGCTTTAAAATGAGTAGCAAGAATTTATATAGATGATTTTATATAATTATTAACAGAATAAAGATTCTTCCAAAAAGGCAAACTGTTCTAGCTTTGCTGGGAGTTTATGAGGTAAACTGAGGAGGAAAAGAGAAATGAACATTCAAATAAAAGACAGAGGGGAGCTAGGCAAGGTAGCACTGCCTGTAAATCTCAGCACTCCAGAGGCTGAGTGAGACCTTCACAAGTTTGAGGCAGCCTTGACTACATAGTGAGACCCTATCTCAAAACAACAAAACAAAATGGCCGGGGTTTGGGGGCGTGGATAAAAACAGGTCAAGACTGAGTCTAGGGGCTGGGAAGATGAGATGGCCCAGTAGAATAAGTGTTTTCCCAGCAAGCACAAGGGTTGGAGTTCAATTCCCAGTTCCACAAGACAGTCTAATCTTAATCAAGTAGAGTGGGAAGATGGGACGATGGCAAAAAATCCTTTAAAATTGGAAAACAAGACCACCACCACCACCACACAGGCCAAATCCAAAACCAAGGATAGGTCAAGCAAGTCCTGTGGAATTGGACAGGGAAAAACTAAACTTTAAAGGGCACTAAGAAGCTGGAAGTAGTAGAAAGTATCTGTGTATTTGTGAACTTGACATGTGAACAAGTTGGGGTAAGGGTAATAGTCTGCTGTAATCCTGAAAAGACTTCCTGAAGATACGGGTGGTCTGACACACTTAAAAAGCTACCAGCAAAAGGTGCTGAGGGGAAGAAGTTAATTCTAAAGATTAATAAATTAGAAATCTAGGAAGGAGGGGCTGGCGAGATGGCTCAGTGGTCTAAAGCACCTACTTAGAACAAGCTCAGCAAAGCACAGGGACCGCGGTTGGATCCCCCAGCACCACATGCCAGCCAGCCGCGCCCCCTGGTGGGCTGAGCTGGCCACACACACACACACACACACACACACACAATAAATAAACTTTAAAAAAAAAAAAAAAGAAATCTAGGAAGGAGAGAAATATTCACTGAAAACAGACAGAGAAAGCTGGTGTGGTGGTTCATACTTGTAACCCCAAAACTTGGGAGGTTGAAGCAGGAAGGTTGCAAATTGGACGATGTAATGAGATCCTGTCACCAAAAAATAAATAAATAAATAAATGAAAGAAAGGAGAGGGGAGGGGAAGGGAGGGGAGGGGAAGGGAGGGAGGAGAGGGGGAGGGGAGAAGAAAGGGAAAGTTCTGAAGCAGTATTTTTGTTTTTGTGGTTGGGATACAGGATCTCACTAAACTGCACAGGATAAATTTGAGCTTTGGATTGTCCTGCCTCAGCCTCACAGGTAGCTGGGATTGGAGGTGTGTCGCAATGCCTTAAGGATCAGTCCCTAGGCAAGCACTTTTTCTTCTCCTGCACCCTGATCTAAGGAAGGGGCTGCCAAAAACATGTCTCTCTCTTGAGCTGCAGCAGAAATTCACCTATCCAGCCTCAACTCATTACTATCTAAAAAGAAAGGGTGGGAGCACTCTTGAGGTATGTCCCATTTGTAAGCTCCCTTGGCTAAAAATCTAGACAATTTCCCAGAAGCACCATGTCTTCCCACAAGCACTGTCATCCTGTAGGATGTCTGTTTTCGATGCCACATACTCTTTTTTTCCATATACATAAATCCCTAGAGTAATAATTTAATCTGTTTTCACTTAATGAATTGATACTTCTTCATTTTGCCAAGGCTCTACCATCTAGCTCTGCCAGATCATCTGATCCACATTGCTCACCCAGAAGATCCTGTACTTCAGAGTATCCTTTTCTTTTTTCTTTTCAGAGTATCCTTGAGTCAGGTTTTTCTTTTTTTTTATTTTCATGGCATTTCACATAATTCTACTGCCTCCACACTGTCTACACCCAGGCAAATCATTTTACAATAATTATGTGGAAATAAGGCCCAATCCTCAGATCACAAGATATTTTTCTCCCTCAAGAATATGGTTAAGGGGCCGGGAAGATAGCTCAGTGGAATAAGTGCTTTCCTAGCAAGCACAAGATCCTGAGTTCAATCTCTGGTACTGAAAAGAAAAAAAAAAGGTTGAACCTTTGCTAGATCTCAAAGTCAAAGACTGGTGTTTACTTTCCTGTTCCTTGGATATATAATATATATACTCAATATTAATTGTTAATTCAAAATTTTAAAACACACATTACAATGTAAACCACTGCTTCTTCATAAATCAGTATATTTCACCACTATGTTTTACTTTAATATTTGATGTAATCAATCTGAAGTACTAGAGACTAGAGGATTATGCATGCTAACTACAAAATTGTTTTCTCCTTCCTGTGCACCCTGACACACTTTTGACAAAGTACTATATCTACAATCCACTGCACTTACTGGTTGATCATCCCTAATCCAAAAACTTAAAATCTGAAATGGGTTAGGGATGTTCAAACAGTAAAGTCTGCAAATATTCCAGAATCCCAAAACTTCTAAATTCTGAAACACTTTGGTCCCAAGCATTTTGGGTAAAGGATAATTATCCTACATACATTTTTCTGG